AGGAGGAGGCCATGTGGACATGGAGGCAGGAATGGAGTGATCTGTCCACAAGTCCTATGACAGGTGCCCTTCTAAGAGGCAGACAGAGGAGGAGGTTATGTGGAGATGGAGGCAGGAACTGGAGTGAATCGCCCACCATCACCAGAAGCTGGGAGAGAGGTGTGGAACAGACTCTCCCTCTGACACTCAGAGGGATCAACATGGCCAACACCCTGATCTCTCACTCCCAGCCTCCAAAACCGTAAGGGAATAAATGTCATCTCACTTGCTGTTATGGGTTGAATGTTGCTGTTGCCGTTAGGTGCCGTCCAGTTGGTTCTGACTCACAGCGACCCCGTGTACAACAGAAGGAAACGCTGCTGTGTCCTGCGCCACCCTCACAATCGTCGCTATGCTTGAGCCCATTGTTGCAGCCACTGTGTCAGTCCATCTTGTTGAGGGTCTTCCTCTTTTTCACGGACCCTCTACTTTACCAAGCATGATGTCCTTCTCCAGGGCCCGGTCCCTCCTGATAACACGTCCAAAGTACTTGAGATGAAGCCTCACCATCCTCACTTCTAAGGAGCATTCTGGCTGTACTTCTTCCAAGACAGATTTGTTTGTTCTTCTGGCAGTCCACGGTATATTCAATATCCTTCATTAACACCACAATTCTAACGCATCAATTCTTTGTTCTTCCTTATTCATTGTCCAGCTGTTGCATGCATATGCATATGCGAGTTGAGTGATAGTTTCCCCAAAAAGAAATGTTGTAACCCCTGTATCTGTGAATGTTGGCTTGTTTGCAAAAAGGGTCTTTGCAATTAACACGAGGTCATACTGGAGTAGGGTGGGTCTTAATCCCATCCCATGACTGGGGTCCTTAGAAGAGACACAGACACAGAGGGGAGAAGGCAAGTGAAGACAGAGCAGAGATTGGGGTGATGTGGCCATAAGCCTAGGAACGCCTGGGGCCACCGGGAGCTGGAAGAGACGAGGAAGGATCCTCCCCTAGAGTCTGGAGGGAGCGCGGCCCTGCCCACACCTTGATTTCTGACTTCTGGCCCCCAGAACTGTGAGAGCTTAAATCCCTGTAGTCTTAAAAAACCTGGTTTGTGGTTCTTTGTGACAGCTGCCGCAGGAAGCTTAGGCCACAGGGCTGCCAGGCTGATGATCTGGGTACCAGTTTGCTGTGGTTTATCTCACTGCTCTCCTTTCTCACTGTCCGCTCTTACCTGCCACCCTCTCCGTTAAATGCACACTTTCCTGGTTATCTTAATCGTCAGAGACAGGGTGCCACAGTGATTCGGCCAGGTGTTAACATGTGAGCAGAAACTCACGCCTTCCAGCTGCCACCAGGACCTGCCCAGAGACCCCACTTCCCCCTGCTCCGTGCGGCAGCTGGGGACGCAGTGGAGACCCAGCTCTCTTAGCTGCCCCAGTCCTGCGTTTCCTCTGCCCTTCTTTGACTGCCTGGAGGGTGCGCAGCCCCCCTTGAGTAGGTCTGTGATGCCCCAGCACCCCTTCTACCTCAGCAGCCCTGGGCGGACCCCGTGTTTACTGATATGCAGGCATGAGCTGGTAGAGGAAGCACCCCGCCCTGCACCTTGCTCACCGCAGGGCTCTGTGAACTGGGGGTGCTGTCCCCCCAGAGGCTGGCACCCACGGAATCTTGAGAAAAACAAGCAGGCGGGTGCACGAGGCTCAGGGTGAGGTCGCTTCCCCATAGGGCTGGGCACAAGGCTTGCTGCTGGCTCTGGATTTCATACCCAGCACCAGATTTTCAGAAAGAAGTGGTGGAAAGGCACCAAACCAAGCTCACTGCTGTGGAGTCGACTGTGACTCATGGCGAACCCACACGTTACAGAGCACAACTGCTCCGTACGGTTTTCTTCGGGGTGATCTTTACGGAAGCAGATCGCCAAGCCTTTTCTTCTATGGCACCTGTCATGGAATGAATTGTGTCCCCCAACATGTGGGTCAACTTGGCTGGCCATGATTCCCAGTATTGTGTGATTGTCATCAGATGTGATTTTCCTATGTGTTGTAAATCCTACCTCTATGATGTTAATGAGGCAGGATTAGAGTCAGTTATGCTAATGAGGCAGAACTCAAATCTACAGGATTAGGTTGTATCTTGAGTCAATCTCCTTTCAGAAATAAAAGAGAGAAGTGAGCAGAGAGAGAGGGGGACCTCCTATCACCAAGAAAGCAGAGCCGGGAGCAGAGCAAATTTTTGGACCTGGGGTATCTGTGCTGAGAAGCTCCTA